GGAGGGCCAGGAGGTTGCCGGAGAAAAGAGGGCCGGGGGGGGGGGAGGGGGACAATCGGGGGTGTACACGGCCAACCAGAGGCAAGCCCGGCCGTGGGCGGGGAAAAACCCGCCCGCCGGGTGCGCGATCTGCGCCGCCCACACCCCGCACAGGCGCCTCGCCCTAGCTACGAGTGTGCCCCTGGCGCTTAGCCGCGTCCGCACGGCCAAGATCGCGACTGGGCCCGCCGTGTGGGCCCGCTGCCCCGCAGTCCCTGCCCCGGCGGCGGCGGCGGCCAGTTGACATGTCACTGCACATGTGCCAACGAAAGGGTGCGATCGCCCGGGCTCCCGCGCTCGGCCGTGCCTTTTCCCCGGCCCGGGCCTGCCCCGCGCGTGGGCTCTGCGCTGCCAGGCACTTTCCTCCAGGGTCACTGGCCGTAAGCGTGTGCATGTGCATGTGTGTGCGGGGGGGAATATGCCCGTGGCGAGCCTCAGTCCCGCATGCCCGCACGATGGACGCGGATGAATCAAAGGCCGAGGGGGATGCAAAGGCTGTGTATTGTTTTTTTGGGGGGGGGGGGGGCGCTTTTCTGGGCAGCACACACGGGGAGAGAAGGAGGCAACAAGATGGAGTGGCTGCTCTCCTCGGGGTGGGTGGCTGCCAGAGGGGCGGGGAAGATGGGCAACACGCCACAAATGCCTAGGGCAGGCGGGGGGAGGGATGGAGGGGATATGCCGAGGTGCATACCTCAGGTCCCCCTCTGGCGGGGAAGCGGGAAGAGGGAGGAGGCAGGGGAAACTGTGTGGGAGAAGGCGAAAGGGGGAGGCATCAGATACAAGGACGGTGAGGGGGCCGCCGAACCAGTGGGGAGGGAGGGGCGTCGATCGGGGGAAAGGGGGGGGAGGAGGGGAAGAAGGGAGAAGCAGCGGCGCCAGAACCAGGGATAGAGGGAAGGGACAAGGGCCAGTGGCGGGGCGCAATTAACTGGACTGCGCCTTGCTGGCCTTGGCGGCGCGGATGACGAGCTTCAGCGAGCGGTTGGGCTCGGCCTTCTTGATGAAGTCATGCTGCACGCCGCAGAAGG